GGCTCTTTGCCTTGAATTCCTTCGGCGGGGGGGGGGGGGAAGAGCAGTAAGAGAGACAAGGGGCCTTCCGGCCCGAAGAATCCCTCTCTTTCTTGCCGCTCCGGGGGCAAGAGCAGCTGGGGGCTGCCCCCGCTCTCGCTTTCCTGCCCTCTGGAGGATGCTTTTGTTCCGGGCGAAGGGAGGGAGCACTCGATCCCTTCCCGGCGTTTTGTGCGCAAAGGTGCTCCACCCCAAATAGCCGGGAACCGCCTTCTCTCCCCCCCCCCGCATCCTATTTTTCTCCCTATATTCAATGGGAACAACACGAGGAAACTTTGTGGTCAATTCTGCCAAAGTCTATACTCGAGAGATGTATACAGATAGGGAGTATTGTGAACAATCACTCTTTAGGTATTGCTTAAAAGCGATGGAGGATCAGTTTAATCGTAACTGCAAGCAAGAGCGGGGTGTTTGGGGTTCCTGAATTTCTCCCTTCTGAGGCTAAATAGGAAATTTTCCCACCTGCCCCGGATCCCCCCCCCTCTCTCACACACACGCACAGAGGTTCCCGGTTCCACCGTGAGCTCACTCACTGGGCGAGGAAGGGCCGGTTCTTCCTCCCCACCACCTGAGCCGCCTGTGCTAACCTCAGCCTGCCTTGCAGGATTGTTGTAAGGATCACGGAGACGTCTTGTTTCTGGGGAGGGCTCTTCAGGGCTGAAAGGATCGCAGGCCAGCCCAGGGAAACTCGGCAGGGAGGGGGCCTGGGGGCGTCCCCGCGGCTTCCTCGTACAGGCCAGCTCGAAGCGGCTTTGTAACGGCGGAGCGAAAGAAGCGCCTCCCTCCCACTCGGCCGGCGCCGGGATCTCTCGCTCCTTTCAGCGGCGCCCCCTCGACACACTCGCCGAAGGAGTCTCCCTTAGAGAGCGCATCTGGCCCGAGGCGAAGCCAGACCCTCCAGCTCAGGGACTCCAGAGCGCTTGCTCGGTGTTGGGTTTTTCCGCGACTGAATCCTGCTTTTCGTTCTGCGAGCAGAGAGCTGGATTTCAAAGCCAAGCAATGCCTCTCTCTCTGTGTGTGAGAGTTTTTTCTGAGCCTGTCTTTGTGTGCCTGTGACTCCCAGGCCTGCCTGAAACTCTTCAGCCCCTGCAGCTCTAATGCAAGATCTGGCCAAAGGTTGTGCCCTTCGATTGCAGCCTAATTTCACCGCGTGCTTTCTCCAGGGGGGTTAAGCGACTGGCCCGAGGCTGCTGGTTCTGCTTGCCTTCTCTCCTCAGAGGTGCTGTTCGAGCTCCTCTTGGAATAGGGCCGACTCAAGTCACTTGGCTGCCTGAGGCATATGGTGTCCCCTGCCCCATATCCACTCCGAAGCAGGGCAAGCGAATTTGGTATACTATATGGCAGCGGGTTTCACAGGCCCGTCTCCCCACCCCATGCCGGGAAATGTAACACCTAATTCAGGGGCTAGCCCGTGCACGGCCCCGGACGTGAGCGGGAGGGCCGCCCCTGCCTTTGAACTCCGCAGGGCGCCCGAGTCTCCAGCTCGCTCTGGAGTCCCGCGGAGTCCAACAGGGTGGAAGAGGGGGCCGGGCAGGCTTTGGAAGCCGCGGCGCCCTGCCGTGGAACCCCGCTCGTTGTGAGCGGACTTTTGGGAGCCAACCCGGCCGCTGCTG